CTTCCTTCCTTCCTTCCTTCCTTCCTTCCTTCCTTCCTTCCTTCCTTCCTTAGCACCCAGTCATGAGTGAGAACATGTGGTATTTCTCTTTGCTTATATGGCTTATTTCACCTCAGCCATAAAAAGAATGAAGAGTTTAGTCCCATCAGAAGTCTGCTACGTGAAATCTTGCAGTCTCTGGGCTTTTCTTTAAATCTTAGGGCTGGTTCTGTAACTCATTCATCCTTGGAACGGGTGTGTTACCCTGCTCCCACAACCTGGACAGTGCCTTGCCCCTGGACAGCTGTGACTCCAAAGCAAGAATGTTTAGTTCACCAAGTTCCTGACTAGCTCTTATTATCTCACTCTTCCTGAGCACTAAGTCCTGCAGCATTTTCCCATGAGCTATGCTGTGAGCCAAGGTTACAAAAAGACTTCTTTATGGGTAGTATTCTGCTTAAAGCTGTATTCTACAAAATGGCACTTCTAAGGCTAATTGTGTGTGACTATTGGCTGTGGTGGGCTCTTACAGGTGCACCTGGGGTTTTGTCTCTCAGGCATGTCCACACTGGGCCTCCAGCAACTTGTCAGTTACAATTTAGGTTTTCCTACCTTGACACTGATTCCTATGGAGGTTTCTGCTCATAGGTTTTTGCTCCAATAAGTCATAACTCTCTCTACTCACCTATCTCTCCAATTCTGGGGGCCGCTGTTTGCCCTCACTTCTCTTACAGATCAAAGAAGAGTTCTTGATTTTTCAGTTCAGCTTTTTACTTGTTAGGATGGAGTGGCATCTTCCAAGCTTCTTACATGCTAGACCAGAAAACAGAAACTACTATGTTTTTTTGAAATTTTCAAAACAGCTTAAACAACCCAATACCTATCAACTGGTGGATGGGTAAATAAAATGTGGTACATCCATACAAAGTCATATTTAGCAAAACAATAAAAAAGGAATGAAGTATTGGTATGTGCTACAATGTGGATAAGTCTCAAAAACATTATGCTTAGTGGGAGAAGCCAGATGCATAAGACCACGTATTGCATGATTCCATTTATAAGAAATGTTCAGAAAAGACAAATCTAGGGGCAGAAAGTATGGAAAGTTTCTAAAACTGGACTGTGGCGATGGCCACACAACTAGTAAATTTACTGCAAATCATTATACACTTAAAACAGGTGAATTTTGGGCCAGCCCGGTGGCGCACTGCTACAGTACGCCGCTTGGGAGTGCGGCGGCGCTCCCGCCAAGGGTTCGGA